ATCTCTTCAGGCCCATGTTGTACTCATTCAAAAGGAGGGAAAAGACCCTTCCCAGTGTTCTAGCTATAGACCAATTTCATTATTGAACACCGATACTAAGTTGTACGCAAAGGTTCTAGCAAATAGGCTGAAAGATCTAATGCCTGAATGGATTCACGGAGATCAGGTGGGCTTTGTCCCAGGGAGAGAGGGTAGAGACAACGGGTTGAGAACACTGATGCTCATTCAGAAAAGTAGAAAAGGGAAGGCCCAGACGGTACTATTGTCGATTGATGCCGAAAAGGCGTTCGATAGAGTGGACTGGGGCTTCATGATGGACAACTTAGAAGTGTTGGGGATTGGAGAGAGAATGCGTGAGTGGATAGGTAAATTATATAGGGAGCCCACCGCAATTATCACGGTAAATGGGGAGAGGTCGGAATCCATTGGAATGTCCAATGGAAGAAGACAGGGCTCCCCACTGTCCCCCTTGCTGTTTGTTCTGTCATTGGAACCCCTGTTGTCTACGATAAGGAATAGTGGAGCGGTAAAGGGAATCCAGATAGAAAATACAGAGCATAAAGTAGCGGCCTTTGCGGACGACTTATTGTTTTATGTAGACAACCCTCGAATAACATTACCAAATATAATGAAGATCTTGAAGGAATATGGCGATCTATCAAATTTAAAAATTAATCCAACAAAAACAGAGATCTTAAACATCAACGTACCAAAGAGTGAAAAGGAAAAGCTACAAAAAGAGTTCCCCTTTACATGGAGAGAAAAAGATTTAAAATATCTAGGAATAAAACTTGCTATCTCATATAAACAACTGTATAGATTAAACTATATTTCTTTGATAAATGAGATCAAGGAAGAATTAAAAATATTAGAAGGTGGAAACCCATCATGGATAGGACGTATAAACCTAGTTAAAATGGTAATCATACCTAAAATACTGTATAGATTCCAAATGGTCCCAATTAAACTCCCAGAGGTTTTTTTTTTAAGATAATGAAAAAAATGTTAATAAGATATATCTGGAGGAACAAAAAATCAAGAATATCATATGAAATATTGAGTAGAACTAAAGAGAAAGGGGGAATGGGACTACCTGATGTCAAGAGATACTATAAAGCAGTAATTTTAGCAAGAATTTATGATTGGACATTCAATCACAAGGGGAAGAGTTGGGTAAAAATTGAAAACGAATTGAGTGGGATTAGTTTGAGTAAGATGATATGGGTCCCAGCACATCTTAGAAGATTTAAAGAAAGCACAAGTACTTACACTTTAAATGTTTAAGGGCATGGGATAATTTACACAAAAGTAGGAAATGGGAATTCAATTCTATATTAATGCCTCTTGTAAATTCTGATTATTTCCCCCCAGGAAAGGATGAGATATCTGGTAGATGGTTTAAAAGGGAAGATATCCAACTGAGAGATGTACTGGTAGAGGGGGAATTGAGACCATTTAAAGAATTAAAAGAGAAGAAGGGAGAAAGTTTTATTGGAATAGACGAGTGGAAATATCATCAGTTAAAATGCTTTATTGGAAAACTACCAAAACCCCTGAGATTAAAAAAAGGATTGGAATAGGTTTGAAAGGTTGTTGGAAACACGTAGAGATGGGAAACACGGTATTGCCAAAGTTTATAGAATACTCACAGAATTAGACACAGACACAAAGTTAATTTTTATAACGAAATGGGAAAGAGATATGGAGGTGGTGTTAGACGAGCACCAACAGAACAAGATATATAGATTGATACACGAGAATGTTAGTATGAGAGACGTGGAGATTAACTATAAATGTTTGACTCGATGGCATATTACACCGAGTATTGAGCACAAGATGAGGGGGGAGAATTCTAAAATGTGTTGGAGAGGTTGTGGGGAGGAGGCCACGGTGTTTCACATTTGGTGGCAATGTCCAAAAATTCAGGCTTTCTGGAAGATAATAGTTAATTCAATAGAAATAATAACTGGAAATGACATAGGGTTAGACCCAACGATGTGTCTCCTACATAATGTTGGGATCACAGTAAATAAATATAAAGAATCAGGCGTATGGTACTATTTAAATGCTGCAAAGGTGTTGATACCCAAGTTCTGGCAAAAATCAGAGGTGCCGAAGGAGGAAGACTGGATCAACAGAGTAAATCAGATAAGTAGAATGGAAAAATCTTACTATATGCAGGAAGATAGGATGGGAATATACTATACAAGATGGGAAAAATGGGAAAAATCAGGACTGAAAGAGAAAGTATGGAAAGTATAGAAAACTATAAATTAAGAAACTATTGGGCCTCGAGAGAGTATAGAACGTGCAAAGGGGAGGGAGGGGGAAGGGGGGTGGGAAAGGGTTGGGAGGGGAGGGAAAGAAAAGATTTATTAGAAGGGGCAAGGTAGAAATGTATGGAATATTTATATGTATTGTTATCTCTTCTTATGGAATTTTTTTTTGTAAAAAATGAAAAACTAATAAATATTTAAATTAAAAAAAAAAAGTAAGAAAACCCGCAAAAACATGTGTTTAAAAGAAAGCAAAGCACACCACAAAACGCACCAGAAAAAACACCAACCGCAACCTGCATAGGTGTGAACCTAGTCTTATTCTGTTTTAGAACATCAGCTGATCTACATAATAACAGACCTATGAATATGATAATAGATTATTTATTAGAGATGGAAACAGCTGTGCTATCAGAAAGTATAGAAATGTTTTCAGTTAGACTGCAATTTACCATTTCGTACATATTATACACATTTATCATTCTGGAGCTATTTAATTGATATAAAGTACATGTAGATGGTAAGATTACATTGGCCATCCCAACCATTTATTATCAGCACTTGTCATTTAGCACAGAACTTACAGTTATTCAGTTCATAGTCGATATAATGGCAGAGAAAATTTGAAACGGTCTCATCTGGCTGATAACTGTGACATGGACGCTTTTAGTTTTGCAGGTAGTCCCTTTAAAATAATATGTCTTAGAACTCTAGTGCTGTAAAGCGCTACTACTACTGAACTACCTTAGTGAGATACTAAATTCAAATATTGAGATATGATATGTGTGCCACTGGAGACCTCTTATGAATGAATGGGGCTATGACAAACATTCACAGTATGAAGAGGGGCCAGCTTGGACTTTATTGGAAGTAAGGTACGGTAAATATCATTCTAGATGGGCAGCACTCAAGGTGATGAACGGATTTATTATAGGACAATGTCACTAAAGCTAAAGTGATTGGTTTACATAGCTGTATATTTTAACAAACAGACCACCAATCTCTAAGGCTGGCCATACACTATACAATTCTGCCCAATTTACTTTAGATTTGCCTTCAACTATGTTGTGCAAGGGCCTGCTTAATTGGATACAATTGAAAGTGTTGTTCAGGTTTGACCTCATATTATATGGTTTTTGGTAAATCTAAAGCAATTTTCTAAAGAAAATTGTATAATGTATGGCCAGCCTTAGTCCTCATGCAAACTTGACATTTTGAGAACGCTGGTAGCGTTAGCTGTGTAAAGTCACATTAAAAATGTGATTTTTTTTCAGCTTTTTTTAGGGTTTTTGCATTGGCGTTTTTATCGTTTTTTTACCCAAAAATATTTTTTTGTCAGAAAAACCTCCAAAAACGCCCATTTGCGGCGTTTTACTGTGTTTTTCAGAGTTAGAGTTTTTTTTTATAGCTAAAAAGAACTCCTCTAGAAACCCGCTACTCCTAGGTTTTTTTTTCCAGCCCAAAAAAAATTTGATTACAGCCTATGTGTGCATGAACACATAGGATAACTTGCTGGGGGGTTTACTACCTGTAGAAAAAAAAACGTCTAAAGACAAAAACAGCAGCTGTAAAAACATGTGCATGAGGACTAAGGCAATGCAATATATGTAAGCTAGCCACAGATATTACAATCAAATTGTACAGGAATTTTTACATCTATTAACCACGTATTGCAAGGGTCCACCCAACTGGATATGATTATTGAATCTGGAAGCGCTTTATCCCTGGTTCACATATATGCGGCCGTGCGGGCCGTGTTTTGCGCTGGCACGAGAGCCCATTCATTTGCATGGACTCCCGTGCCCCGTGACACGCAGCAAAAAAGTCCCTGCACTTCTTCTGAAAATGCAGCCTGCACGAGAACCTCAGTTCCCAGTACGGTTGAGTTTTCCAGGGCGGGCAGCGTGCCATTAGAACATTAGAACGGCTGTTTCGTGTGGATCCGCAGCGGCACCACCCGCACGGATGTGAACCTAGCCTTACTGTAGTTTGCCTTTGTATTAGGGAATATGCAAAGTTTAATTGAAAGAAAAGTATTTTTATCTGTGCTTGCAAATTGTTAGTTATCTGTTAAAAGTGCTCCCACACCTTACAATGTTTGGATCTAAGGTGTTTTTAAAAAAAAGGAGGGCTATTTGTGGGAAAATATACTACCATATGTTACATCAAGGGGTTTCATAACTTCCTACAGCCTGATGATAATTTAATAAGTAATAGACATAGTCTTACTTAGTAATTGCTAGACTTCACTGCACTTGGGGAACGGTATATTGTATCTGCAGATTCCATAATGTACAGTAGGTGTATGTTACAAGCTAATGGCTTCATGTTACATTCATATTACTTACACATATGCATTATTCATTTTAGCCTGTTGATGCTACAACAGCCTATGGTAAAAGATGTGCAGCTGATACCTGTTTTAACTGAGTAGTCCTGAGCATAACATTCCTTAATGAAAAGGCACTGACTCCAAAAAGTTATTGTCACCTAAACTGGTTGTGTTATGACACAACAGACATAGGGAGTGATTTACTAAAACTGGTGCACATAGAATCTGGTGCAGCGGTGCCAGGGGTGAAAATGACAACTCATGGGGCCCCCGGGCAATAGGGGATCATGGGGCCCCTGTGTCCTTGCCCAAACTCACAAAAAAGCCTATGAAAAAGGTACCAGGGGCATCTCATGGGGCCCCCTTCTGACCCGGGCCCTCGGGCAGTGCCCGAGTTTCCAAGTGGTCAGTCCGCCTCTGAGCGGTGCATAGTAATGAATCTGCATCTAGGTTTTACTGCCAAAGCTTCATTGAACAAGTTGAAGTTAGAAGCTGATTGGTCATTGTGCACAGCTGCACCAGATTATGCGTGCACCAGTTTTAGTAAATCCCCCCCATAAAGAAAAGACCCTAAAGTAGTGATGGGAGTATATTCCTAAATTTGCATGTAGCACTTTGTTTTTATTTTCTTGAATGCATGCAAACAATTCCACAAAGTCTATGATGGGTGCCATAGATAAAAATGAAAAGCCTATCTCCCTATACTGCAAACAGGGAATAAAGCTATATTCAGCACATGTCGATAGGCACGTGCAACATGGTTTCAGCTGCATTCCGTTTGCTGCTCACAATAACCCCTGGTTCACATATATATGTGGCCGTGCGGGCCACGTTTTGCACGGGCACGAGAACCAATTCATTTGATTGGTATCCCGTGCCCGTGACACGCAGGGAAGAAGTCCCTGCACTTCTTTGGAAAACGCAGCCCACACGGGAACCTCGGTTCCCAGTACGGTTTCGTTTTCCAGTGCGGGCGGTGTGCCATTAGAATTAATGGCACCCGCCTGCAGGTCCACATTTCTCTGTGTGGGTGGTGTGGCTGCACGGATTTTTGTGCGGATTCACGGCGGCACCACCCGCACAGATGTGAACCTAGGGTAAATGTGAAGTTCCTGTAAAGGCTGCTGTTACCTTCCTCTTCAGTCCGTGGATGCTCACTCCCCTGAGGTCTGTTCTATTTGATACAACTACTACAACTACTACTAATAATAATAATAACATAAATATACGAATACTGTTAAAGCCACAATCTATTTCTGAACTATTTACATTAAAAAAACTAAATGCTGGACTATGCTTGGACATGCAACCAAGCTGGACAATGCTTGGTTGCATGTATTCATCTTGCATTTGGGATGTTTTTGAGATCAATAAAGCTGAACTTCAGGCAGATATGAAAATATTACAATGAATGCAGTTATGATGGTATTAAAACAAAATGAAATGTATTTTTGAAAGGAGCTAGTACAAGTGTTTAAAGTGTTACTAAACCCAGGACCCTGCATTCACTATATCTGGTCTCCCACAGTACACACAACATGGAAATGCAATTACTCTAGTAAATATAAACTGCTAAATACCTTTTCTCATTAGCAGTATATAGCAGTCCTGTGACTTCTATCAGTGTCCAGCAAAGCACTGGTTTCAGCTTGTAGGAGGAGTTTTCATTCTCCTGTGGGAGGATGCAGGACCCCTGACCTCTGTCTGACAAGAACTGATTGGCCCTGTGCTGATCACAAGCACTCTACCAAGAAAAAAAAAAAACTCTCTAGCAATGCAAACCAAACTGAGCTTGTGCAGTTTGCCCATGAGCCTCTGTTCTATCAGGGGATGTTTAGGAAACACTGGAAGAGGGGGAGGATCAGAGAAGACAGAATCAAATGTCCTTTTCACAGGATTAATCCCTTAGGTTTTACAGTGAGAATAATAAGCATGCTTTACTGCATATACAGAATGATTTTACAGTTGTGGGTTTAGTAAGACTTTAAATTTGACTAAGGATCAGCCTCTTTCAGTTCACTGCATGCCAGAGTTAGATTGGGAGAGGGAGAATCAGCACCAAGAGGCAGTCATTTGTGAGAAAGATGAGCTCTTCAGTGTGCTGCTTCTTCTTTCCTTGTCCAGTCACAATCAAGACCAATGGTTTATTTCTCTGCAGCAAAGAAAATTCGGGTGGTCTGCCCAGCCAGACAGGCTATGCTTTGTGGCAGAGCCCTACATGAGTTTCAGAATTTGACAGACAGAAATACAAATCCTTTGGCTTATACAGTATATATTTCTGTGTATTTTTCTGCTTGCCTGGAGTTCAGCTCTTCCTTCTAAGCTGATTATAGACAGAGAATGACCAATGGGATAAGAAGCAGAATACGAATAGGAGACAGTGTGGCAACTGATCCTGTACTAGGGTAAATTGAATGGGAAAATGGCAATATACTGTAGACCATTTGGGAATAGAGACACAGAGAAAAAGCTAATCATAGCTTGGGGTGAAAGTGGGAAAGAAGTCACAGACAGGAGAATGGTTGTAAAGACTGAGCAGGACATGACTGTGGATCCTGAAAGGGAAAAAAGGGAAGCAAAGCATGAGCTGATCGAAGACTAGGGAAAAGATAGTAGGCATGTGCACGTTGGAAATTTTCATTTCATTTACTTCCAGATGCATTTGTTAATTGAAGTGCATGCGCAGTAGCGGCCGAGCATTCTGCCCAGCTGCAGCTTGTTTGGAGAGCTGTCATCTGAGAACACTGACTCCACACCAGTCCACAGCACACATCTTGGCAGAGACTAGGGAGGAATTGAGGAGGATTGTGCACTGATTGATGTGCCTTATATACTTCTGCATTGGTTTTCTTAATTTTAACTTTTAAATAAATGAAGTTACACTAGGGCGGATGTGCGCTCTCTGCTGCTTTTGATTCATTAATTGAAGAATTCCGTTTCCTCATATTCATTATGTTGAACCAATTAGTTTTTGCAGTTCGTTACAATTCTGTTGGCATTTGTTTTCTATATTCATTGGTCCAGGTGGATTCTAGATTTTGCAGTTTTTCAGAAGATTGCTATATAATCGATATATTATGGAAACGATTATAAAGGATTCAATATTTTGAGACACTAGTCCAACCCACCAAAAGAAATGGCATGAGCTGAATGGACAATATCAATTGGCATCATGTGCATCCAAATGAAACAATGAACGAAATTTGGATCCATTTGTTATTTGAATCCAAAAATTCAAACAAATTAAAAAATTGAATTAATTTCCCTATGGGCTCAAACTACTATATCATCATGTGATGTCATCCAAATGAAATTAACTTTTTTCAGATTCGTCGCCATTCATTTCTGTGTCCATTCGGAGATGCGGATACATCCGAAACTCTGAAAATGGAAAAACAAATATTTGTAGTGAGGATGTGGACACTGGGAAGATACTTGACATAGTTACATAATCAGTTTGAAAAAATAAACAAGTCCATATAGTTCAACATGTAGAAGAAAATATATAAATAGAAAACCTCCATATACAGAACCCTATACCCACAGTTTATCCAGAGCAGCCTTATTCAACTAGGGTGTCTTCAGGGTTCTTTGGGGGTGCCTTGGCAAAATGCCTAAAAATTGCCCCAAAAATTGGGTACAAACCAGCAGGTGGGTCAAGCTTACTGTTTTGTTACACGAAGCAACAGGTTTTCATTGCACTACCTTGGGTACTGTGTAAGCTAGCCACCATCATCCTAACAACCACTGAAGTCATTGATTGATAAGGACATCAGGTATCTGCACAGCATCCTTGTTTGACCCCTTGCACCTCTCTGTCCGCACTAGAGTCATGTTAACTGTGTGGGAGAGAGAAAATGTCAAAGAAATGCTGGAATACTAGTCAGTACCAGTGTGCAACAGTGTATTTGCTTCGAAAGAATAAATTACCTCTAATGTTGGGTGTCCAATGTGTGTGGATGCTGCTGCAATATTTAAAACTATTCGTTTTAAAGGATGCCTTGACTGGAAAAAGGTTGAGAAACACCGATCCAGAGAAAGGCAAAAAAAAAAAAGCTTATAAAGCATGGTCCAATTTGCTCAAGGGAGAAAAAAAATCCCCTAAAGGCAAAAAAATATTCTCTGGATCAACAATTGCTGGTGTTATTATCTATAAATGTTAATATGCGGTTATATTTTGTGTATTTAGGAATGTATCCAGCTCTTTTTTAAAACAATCTACTGAGCTGGCCAGAACTACTTCTTGAGGGAGTCTATTCCACATTGTGTGCAGCTGTTCAGGGCTGATAATTAAGGTCTGGGATCTGCTTTCTGTCTGTGTTAGGGGACACTCACCAGCATCCGCATGCCTGTCAAATGAGGATGATTGCCTTGTCCATACAGCCACTAAGTCCCCATAGCCTGCCTGCACATACACCTGGCTGTACGGGCCTTGGCTCCCATGTGAATGAGACCTAAAGTAATGAACACTCACAGCTAGCAGACTGTAGCTTCAGTTGTTGGAAAAATCCTCTGTTGAGATTATGAAGTTACAATACCTCTTTAATCTAGCACTAACCCCTGAAGGGGCCGCTAGATTTGTCCAAGTTATTTTCTATTCAGCGCAGTATCACCTAGGTACACAACAAACAGTTCCCTCACTCCGGCTCAGTCTAGGGGATGTGTTTAGAACAGATGATGAACAATGGGGAATTGGATACTCCACATACACAATTAAGGACACTTCTCTATAGCAGTAACACAGGCACAAAGCTCAAAGCTGAAGGCCAGGAACAAAGGGATTTTAGCATAGATTGAAGTAGGATGGAGCAGTCTAATACCCTTGCAGCTGATGACTACAAGGTTTGTTGAGAAGGTTCTGGTCAATTTGGAACAATCACTATCCACAGTAGTAGACCATGGAGACTGCAGCTCAGTAATCAAGTTCTACTCACAGGCCAAGGAGAAAGATCCAAGTTTAAGGGTTCTATCCATAGCACCAAGTAGTCCACCAGCCAGTCCTGGATACCTCCAGGGGCAAGCAGCCTCCTGAAGCCTCAGCAATCCATCTTCAGGCAGGTAGGGCAAAACACCAACTAATCCCCCTGCCTTGGCTTCAGCCTATTTACACCCTCATTGACCACCTACTGGCACACCTCCTGAATATGTATAATAAAAAAACAATGGATATATTTAACATTCTACAACAAGAAAAATGTATTAAATATAGTATTTTTGGACTACATCATGCAGAATGGAGAAATGATGTCAAAACTCAAGCAGAAACTATTGAGAAAAAACAATTAAATCCTTGCGAGAGCTTTGGCATAAAAGTGGGAATAAGAACATTTGTAAACATCAGTGAGCCCCACTTTTGTTACAACTGGACCCTTCCTAACTAAACTAAAAATTGTATTTTTATTGCTGCCTATGTACCTAATTGGGGGTACCCTTACTTAACGCCCATCAAATGGAAGATTTTCCTTTAGTCTCTGTTCGGTCTGACACGTGTCAAATAGAAAGTGAAAAGAAATCTCCAAAATAGGAACAAAGTCACCAACAAAAAGTTTATAGAGGTCCTCACCCTTCTCCACTCTCAATACGAAGAGAAAAAAAAGTTTGGTTGGGGTTCAGCTTTAAAATACTTGTTTAGTTTTGCTTTAGATAAACTTGTAAAATTGATCAGCTTGAGGTGGAATAAACTTCTTTAGTTTTAAAGGACAGCTGTAGCTTTGCTAGGTGTTGTCTTTTAAAGTGGTTGTAAACCCTTTCATATATCCAGTTAAATGACTAGCCTCAGGTGATGCACAGCAATAAAACAAATCCTCCTACATAGGTTCTACCTGTTTATCTGCAGACCTCTCTTCTTTACATCCATTCAAAGCCCAGAATTCATACAGCTTGTCTGAGCTTTCAGAAAGCAGGGGGTGGAGAGCTCAAATTATACTCTGCAGAGCTCAGTGATGAGAGCTGAGAGCTGAATGGATGGAAGGGACACACCTCCCCTCACACAGCACACAGGAACAGAGCTGAGGCTGTCAATTATAGGCTTGTGCTATAGATCCTTATCCTGTCACCTTTTTACCTCTTGGTGTCAGGAAAACTTGTCAGGAGTTA